TGGTAATAGCTGTTGCCTGATTTCCCGATGTCATAGCATTGATGTCACAGAACCTAAAGCAAACAGTATGAAATGAAAATAAAAAAAACAAAACGCAAAACAAAATATGTTATTGCTTTCAGCTATCCAGGTATTACTCGAGAATTGTTGTAAAATATGTATGTTACACGTTATTACTACATGTCTTTGGGGTATTTGTTTTTTTACCAGATTTTTGTTTGCAAATCCCTTCAAAGGACTTGCCAGTACATATGTGGGATTTTTACTATTAATAAATAATGATTATAATAATTGTGAATATAAATATTCAGAAAAACGAATCCAATATTGCCTCCAGTAAGGATATTCTTTTACAACAGGAATATTGTTTCAAGGCGCCCTTGGGAAACACACAATATCTGTGAAATAGCTCTTTGTCTCTGCTTATTTAGTGGGTCACTTATGTGTAGAGAAACTCCTTAAATTTTGTAGAAAAGTTGCATGAATTAAATTATACTTATCGGAAGGTTGTACAACATCTTTTATAACCGAAGCACCTACAGAAGATATGTGAAGGTTTATTCCATATGACTGAGGGTATATTAATTTTGTCATTCCGATTTTTTCTTAGCGACCCCATAATATATATATAGTATTAAATCGGAATAAAATTCGATATCGCTTTGATTATATTCACCTTCAAGTTTCAGGATATCACAATATAGCATCTTAAAGGAAATTAATATATTTCATACTTATACATAGCCGACATAGAAATATGTTGATCCATCTTAGAAGATCCCATCCGTATTCTGCAACCGTAGCGGTGTAATTTGACATACACAGTGGTGGTCACCTAATAATCATACACTTAAAGGGAAAATTGTTTTGATTTACCCTCGATTCGTTTGGAATATTTGTAAATATATTTCTATTCAAAACGCCTATGTGCATTGTACTTATTTCTTAGTGTGAAAATAGAAAATAGTCATGGGAAATTTGTGACGATATATATATATATATATATGGTATTTAGGAAACAAGTCAACTTTTGAATGGGACACCTAATTACCACACCTTGGTACCACCGTTGGTAAAATATATAACGAACAGCTTCGGACGGACAAATTGACAGACATGCATAAAGCGACTTAGAATGTGAGTCAATGCTTATTATTATATTAACTATGGGTCTATCGATCGATTCCGTTTTACACTCCGATTTTTATACCCTTCACCACACTGTGGTACAGGGTATTATGTCTTTGTGCATATGTTTGTAACAGGCAAAAGGAAACGAGATACATATGGTTCTTTTTGAGAATATGCATAGAATCACATTCTGAGTCGATTTATGCATGTCCGTCCGTCCGTCTGTCTGTCTGTCCATGTTAAAGTGTAAACAATGTACAGGTCGCATTTATGATCCGAATTGGATGAAATTTGGCACAGGTCACTTATTTGGCCCAAGGACGAACCCTATTGAAATTGGGAAAAATCGGTCCAGATTTAGATATAGCTCCCATATATATCTTCGTCCGATTTAATGTAAATGGTGTACCAAAGTCCCTATATACCTTTCGATTTACACGAAATTTGGCACAGCGTAATGAATTAGGTCTAGAATGATGTGTACTGAGTTTCCTGAAAATCGGTTCAGATTTACATATAGCTCCCATATATATTTTCGTCCAATTTTATGTAAATGGTGCACCAAAGTCCCTATATATCCTCCGCTTACCACGTAATTTCGCATGGTGTACTGAATTGGGTCTAGAATGATGTGTATTAAGTTTCCTGAAAATGGGTCCAGATTTAGATATAGCTCCCGTATATATTTTCGTCCGATTTAATATAAATGGTGTACCAAAGTCTCTATATATCTTTCGATTTGCTCGAAATTTGGCACAGCCTAATGAATTAGGTCTACAATGGTGTATGGTAAGTTTCCGGAAAATCGGTTCAGATTTAGATATAGCTCCCATATATGTTTTCTTCCGATTTAAGGTAAATGGGGACCAAAGTCCCTATATAACTTTCGCTTTGCTCGAAATTTGGCATAGCGTACTAAATAAAGTCTAGAATGATGTCTGCATATATATATATATATATATATATTCTTTCTTCCGATTTTATGTAAATTGTGCACTAAATACCCAAGGTTTGTACGATTGCCACACAATTCTGTACAATGAGCTGCAGTTAATATAAATTAATCTCGGGCAAGTCTCGTTGAAATCGGTTCAGTTTTAGATATAGTTGCACCAAACTCCTCATTTTTATCGGATATTTATCCAAATAATCAACGGGTGTCTGGTTTTGCTTTAAATTAATTTACAAAATTTTGTCCCATTGTAAAGAGCCACTCTATATCTGACCAAAATTTAGTGTAGGTTGCGGAATGACATGTTTATGGATCCAACTTTATTTTACTGGTCCTTCAATAATGCGACGTCCGCTAGGATTCATCTGTTGAATATACCCAAAGTGGTGAAGGGTATCATATAGTCGGCCCCGTCCGACTTTACTACTTTCCTTACTGGTTTCTAAGAAATTTGTCCTAATCCCGTTTATAAGTCGCACGATGGGCAAACTTACAAAATATATGAAAAGAAGTCGTGAAGGACACTATCAGTTTTGTATAACAGCTTTCTTTCGAATTTTTCTGTTCTGTTCTCGTGTATGACTGGTGTGTGACATACAGGAATGGCAGAACTATCAAAGAAGTCAAATTTGAAAAGAACTGTCACTCAAAACTGACAGTGCGTACTTGTATTTATTGTTTATGGACATCCATAAGGTTGTCTTTATCGACTTTTTAAACATCTATTATGTTCTCTCATTTTCCGGTTTGGCTAAATGGCTTCGTTTTCTGGAACTTCCGAATAATTTTATTTCACCCTTCCCATCCATTTCGTACGTTTACAGTATTTCATACAATATTAAAGACCACTATTAACTGGGTTTATCTTGAATGATTGTCATACTTGTTAGCCCACTTTAGGGACTTTTTGTTGCCTTAAAATGTTCGGCAAAGCTGACGAACTTTTTTAATATTTAATGTTTCATGCACATATAAAGTGTGTATGACCCAGAATTTGCACTTTCTAAACAATCCAAGCCAAAATTCTTATAATTAATTCGGCTGGAAAAGAAACAATCGGTCTGGGCCGATTATATAATACCCTTCACCACTTTGGGTATATTCACATAACAGACGTCGCCTTAATGAAGGAACATTGACATGAAATTGAATGAACTCAAATATGTAATCTTTATATTTATCTAAATCGACTGACATAAATCCCTACACATGTCAATCTGCAACATATGCTAAATTTTGTAAGTCGATTTAAAGCAAACTTGAAACACGCTATTTGGTATGTTGCACGGTTTAAAATTAAATCTCAATCAGACATCCATTGAATACTTAGTGTACAATTAACATGAATTGATCGAAATTATATACGGAAGCTATGCTATGTCTATATCTGAACCGATTTCAAGAAAACTTGCCAGAGATCAATTTATTTTAATATCTGAACGTTGTGTCAATCTGTCTAGCTATGGATCTTTAGTGCACAAATCACATAATATCGGACTAAAATATATATAGGAGGTGTATGTAAATCTGAACTGATTTTAACGAAACTCAGCACACTTCTAGACTTAATTCAGTACTCTATACCAAAATTCGTGCAAATCAAAAATAGGGACTTTGGTGAACCAATTACCTTAAATCGGACGAAAATATATAGGGGAGCTATATCTGAACCGATTTTCACGAAACTTAGCACACACCATTCTAGTCTTCATTCAGAACGCTATGCCAAATTTCGTGCACCAATATATATTAAATCGAAAATATATATTGGAGCTATATCTAAATCTAAACCGATTTTCATGAAACTTAGCGCACGTTATTTTAGACTTAATTCAGTACGCTATGCCATATTTCGTGCAAATTTTGCAAAATTCGTGCAAATCGAAAGATATGAAGGGGCTTTGGTGCACCAGTTACCTTAAATCGGACGAAAATCTATGGGGGCTGTATCTAAATCTGAACCGATTTTTACGAAACCTAGCACACATTATTTAAGACGCAATTCAGTACGCTATGCCAAATTTCGTGCAAATCGAAAGATATGTAGGGACTTTAGCTATAACCAAATCTGAATAGATTTTCACGAAACTTTGCACACATCATTCTAGACTTAATTTAGTACGCTACGCCAAAATTCGTGCAAATCTAAAGATTTGCAGGGTCTTTAGTGCAACATTTAACTAAAATCGAGCGAAACTATATCTAAATCTGAACTTAGCACTAATCATTCTAGACTTAATTCAGTACGCTATTCCAAAATTGGTGCAAATCGAATGATTTTCAGGAACACCATTAATTAAAATCGGACAAAACGATATATGGGAGCTATATCTTAATCTGAATCGCTTTTCACGAAATTTAGCACAAGTTATTTAAAACCCAATTCAGTACGCTATAACGAAATTCGTTCAAATCGAATAATTTTCAGGGACTTTGGTGCACCAATTGCCTTAAATCGGACGAAAATATATATGGGAGCTATATCTAAATCTAAACCGATTTTCACGAAATTTAGCGCATGTCATTTTAGACTTAATTTTGTACGCTGTGCCAAATTTCGTGCAAATAAAAGGATTTATAGGGACTTTGGTGCACCATTTCCATAAAATCGGACGAAAATATATATGGGAGCTATATCTAAATCTGAATCGATTTTCACGAAATTTAACACACATCGTTCTAGACTTATCGTTTGTTTATCCAGTTCTTTGGATACATATAAATGTATGTTGAACAAATTATTGGACCGAATTTGTCAATTATATTATGTTTTACGATAACACAATTTTTGTTGATTTAATATGTGTAATAAAAAAAATCATTGCAAAAGAAAACATTTATTTAAATTATTGTAACAAAAGTGAAACATCATTTATTAACGCCTACTTTTTTCTCTCTCGCGCGTCTTTCATTACAGAGTGATGCATTAAGTTCATCAGATGCTGAAACAATACCGCCAGTACCTCCACCACCATCAATGAAACGTAATGGTAGCATACGTAGTCTACGCTTGTTGCAACATCTGCAACAACAGCAGCAACAACAACATCAACAACAAATAAATCCAAGATCATCCTCCATTCATTGTAATGGCAAGCAAACAACGGCCCAGGACAAAAACACCCATCAACAACACAGCAACAATAACAACACCCACAATAATAGTAGTAGCAGCGGCACCACGAACAACAACAACCATAGCAGTGGGTCTATTGCCACCCTATGTAGCGGTGATTTACTGAACGACTGTACCAAAAGTGTTCACGATGTAAGGGCTGTGATTGACGACTGTACCACTTCCATATTGAAATGTGCCAATGCTGTGAGTTCGGACATTATGTCGACGACCAGTACAACGACAAATGGCAGCTATAAGCCTCAACATGCAGCCGCACTGGCCACTGTCGCGCAGCACAGTAAACCCGATGTTTGCCATGTAACAAAAAGTTCGGCAACGGCCGCTCCATTTGGTCACTATCCCCCGCCCTATCCAATACACGATGACATTACTGTACCCCGTAGCCAAAAGTCAGATCCCTCGCTGTGTTTCCTTCACAAGAGTTCGTCGGGAGCCATAAATGTGGGACCACCGCCATTGATGGGTGCTTACCATACCACAGATTTCCATCTTTCGCAGCGAGATTTGCAGCAAAAGCTGCAACAGTACAAGAACAGCAGCCGGCTAAGCCTTAGTAAATATAACACCATTGGACCGAGCAGTGACTATGCCCGCCAGCTGGCATTGTATTCCTCACAGCAACAACAATCCCTCTCCCAGTATCCTTTACAGCAACAACCACAAACTCCGTATGCCACAATGCGCCCTTTGGGTGCCGGCGAACGTTGTCGTTGCTTCTCCAAATCATGGTCGAATTTCTCGCGTGATTTCATGCAGGCATCACTGTGTGCCAACCACGACAATCACATCATGCCGCAGCAACAGCGGCAACAGCAGATCTTCCACACCAGCTCAACCGCTGCCACGGGCAAAGGTAGGCCTGAACCATCCACTCTATTGAGGTCATCGTCCGCCTATAATAGTCGTAGTTTCAATAATCTTGTCGACATTATGGACAATTACAATTATGACACCACGATGACATCTTCATCACTGCATCATCACCATAAAATGCATGCCGGCAACTCGCAGTTGTGCAACGGCTCCACCAACACCGCCACCCTCATATCGAACAACAACAAGAGCAGCAGTAGTAGTGGCCTTAAAGATAACAAACTATTACACGGTCATCATCAGCATCTTCATCAGCACTATCCCCCCACCCAGCACAAAGATTTCCATTGCAATGATCATTTGGTGGTCGATGGGCATCATCATCATGCCTCGTTGGTGGGCAGCGGCAGTGGGCATCTGCTTAAATCGGCCTCATCAGTATCATCGGAGAAGTTTCATCAAAGCAATGGCAGCAGTAATCATCATCATCCGGCACATCATTCAAGTTTGACTAGTATTATGCCTTGGAAGCATCGACAGAGTCCTAGTCGTGGTTCTTCCAGTTCGGGTACTAATTCATTTCGTAAGTAACAATTGCTAATAACGTAAAGCTAGAGGGCGGTAGGTATTATTCAATTGTGGAAGGACAATTAATGATTGAAAGATGAATTGAAGAGTTTAACATGATTAAACAAGACACAACGGAAGAAGATCAATCTTTTACACAAACATGCTTGGAAATGAATTAGGTATAATATACTCACATACGCTTCGTTTGAATTCATGGCGTTTATATCGGAGACGACCGTCAGAAATAGTAATATAAATTAGAATATTTTCCGATGTATAGTTAGTTCATAGGTCAGAAACTTCTATTACTATATAATTGGCCGGCCTACTTTGCTCAAGCGCAAATTGAACAGTTTAGCGAAAGGAACAGGCTACCATTTACTAAGTTTTTCCACGAATAACTTTCGTTATATTTAACTGGACAACATTTGCTGTGTTATATCAGCTGGACAACATTTGCTGTGTTATATCAGCTCTTACGCATTGGTCTCTGATTCGTCAAAATAACACATTTTTCAAAGTAAAAATCATGAACTAATTGGGACCCCCCAAAATCGTAAAGCTTGTGGTAGAAGAAAAAACCTAGCTGTCATCAGAGGTTTGCATATTAGTGCAGCATTGTGTTTTATAAACGCCTTGGCTCCCATTGAGAATTCCTAAGGATGCCCGTTTCTGAAGGTACAACTCACATGAGTTAAAATCGATAGGCATATTAATATGGCGTCAATGGCATTGAAAGTTGTTGCTAGAAAGGTTCTGTGTGAAGGTTCTGTAGAAACATGGACATGGTCTGTGAAGAAGTGGTTTACTAACCAAGCCCCAGGTCTGCCAAAATACAAGTACTTTGTATTGAAAAATGTCCCAACAAACATCAAAATATATATAAATATACTGCAGCTTTATGGGGTAATTTAATCTATAGATCCACCTAAAGTTATAATATTTTGTAGAAAAATTTGCCAACCAATGAGTACTCGAAATATGAAATTAAAACCAACACGAAAAAAATGACATCAGAATTTCTCAAAATATCCAACATAAGCATTTTCATTATATCTTTATTTTGTCCCTATTGAATTTGGTGAAAATCAGATAAGACTTAGAAATAGCTCTATGTCCTATTTTATAATAGCGCACCCAAGTTTGTCGAAGTCCCAAGTCACCATATACGTGTATAAATCTTTATAGAAATCAGTTCAGATTTAGATATAGCTCCCATTTTCGTCCAATTTGATCTAAATTGTCCGATAGCGTACCGTATTGAGTATAAAATGACTTAAGTTTAGTTAAAATCGGTTCAGATTCAGATGTATCTGCCATATATATTATTGTCTGATTTTATGTAAACGGTGCATTAAACACCCTTTATTTTCCTATTTTTACAAAATGTTGCCCATCATAGAGATTTTAGTCTAGAACTATGAGAATTAGGTTTCGCTGCAAGAGGTTTAGATTTAGAGCTCACATATATATACAGTGGCTCCATCGCATAATCGGACAAAAAGAGTATTTACTAAAACCAGAATATTTTTGGAAGCAGTTAATTTGATGATAGATCATCTTAAAATACATTTCTTTTGATAGTTTTCATTATATTAAGGTTCTGTTTACTGACGAAAACAAATTTAATTTGCACGGATCAGGTGGAAAGATGTAGGTGTGGCGTAAGCCAAATGCTGAATTTAATCATTAGAATACAAAAGCCACTGTTAAGCACGGAGGAGGTTCTGTTATGGTTTGGGGCTGCATGTCGAGTGCGGGTGTAGGCAATTTGCATTTTATTGATGGTAAAATGGACAAATTTGTCTACCTCAACATTTTAAAACAAAATGTAAAGAAAAGTGCAGACAAATTGGGTATCGCGAACAACTTTGCCTTTTATCAAGACAACGATCCCAAGCACACATCAGGTGTTGCAAAGCTTTTGTGGATCCATAACTTCCCAAAACTTATACAAACACCTGCACAGAGCCCAGACCGTAACGTAATTGAGCATCTTTGCTAAGAATTAGCTAGGAGAGTGTATGAAATAAAATTTAACTCCTTAGTACAGCTTAAGGAGGCTTTACTGGAATCGTGGAACTCCATAGAGCAGGAGTTATGCCAGAATTTGGTCAAATCAATACCGAAGCGTTTACAGGCCGTTCTGGACAACAAAGGATATGCAACTAAATATTAATTTCTCAATTTTCTCATTATTTAACATTCATACTTTGCTTTGTCCGATTTTGCGTTGAACACAATAAATTGAGTTAATTTTGTTTTTCTGACGAAATTTACTATTATCACTAGAAAAGTTGTTGTTTTTTGTATTGTTCAGAAATATAAATAAGTATTGTGTAAATAAAAGCAAAAAAACTACACATGTAGACAATTTTTTTGAAATATATAGCATTATTATATCTGACAACCACTTGTCCGATTATTCGATGGAGCCACTGTATATATATTCGTCCGGTTTTATCTTAATGGTGCACCAAACTCCTATGGTTTGTCAGGTTGTGACGAAATTTTGCACAGCGTACCGAATTGACTGGTATATTTTCTTCGAAAACGGATCAGTTTGAGATATAACTCCACATATCAAGTGATTTTTTTTCTATTTCGAGTCGAGCATAAGATCGAAGTTTCGCACTGAAACGACTATGATGTAGAATGGCACAGATATGAATGAATTTAAGCCGGTTTATAATCACATATTTAGGTTCTTCCAATTTCATTTCAATGGTCCTTCAAAACTGCGATGACTATTAGGATGCCTACCAAAACATTACTGTTTTTTTATGGACATTTTCATCCCAATAATAATCAAAAATCCCACATTACTGGAAATTTTGCGGTTAAAATCCCGAAACATTTTCAATACAAAACATCTTAGACTTACCAGCAATGTAGGTGTAAAATTGTAAGCTGTATTTTGAATATTGCGAGCTCTATTGGGATTTTGACTGAATATAGTCTGTAATGCACTTACATAGACAATTGTTTTTTGCAAATGCATTTTTCAACATTGATGAACCGCAAAAAAACGAAAATTGGTATCAAGATAATATAAATTTATTCCTAATATCCTAAAGCATTCAATTCTTTATATTAAACTTGTGATATCGTGATTGTTGAATCTACATTACGGTATCCGGAGAGAATACCTATATGGTGGGTGTTTGAATTCGATATTTTTAAAATTAATCTTTGTTGTGTTGTAACATTACTTGTGTAAAAAAACAGTAAGGAAAGTAGTAAAGTAGTAAAATCGGACGAAACTATATGGGATTAAATCTAAATTTGGACGGATTTCAACAAAACTTGACACACGCTTGGCTAAACTATTTTAAGTACGTTGTGCAAAATTTTGTGTTAATCGGCCCAACTTTGAGGCTTTCGTGCTCCATTTTTTTAATATCGGAAGAAAATATATATGGGAGCAATATCTAAATCCGAACTGGTGGTCGATTCACTATCAAATTTAAATAATTCTCAAATCGATTAAATATTATAACGACAAAATAAACAATATTTCAATTCTATAACAGTGATTAACAACAATTGTTGAAAATGTTGTTAATAAACAATACCAAAATAATCGAAGTTAACTTATCGACAAATATCTTTTAATATTGAACATGCCTTATGCCATGTTCTGACGGGCATCCGAACAACGTAGTTCGCTCTCAGAATTACGTACATGAATTAACCCGTTCATACAACACTATTCATAATTCATATCATCAGAGTTTTTTATTTCAAACTTTTTGTTTCTTGTTTTACACCAAAAATGTAACATATTTTAGTGAATTACATAGGGATCTAAATAGAAAAAATAATTCTCTTTCTCCTGACTATAGTATGAACCCATATCTATTTACTTTTCATTCATGTTTTCCATTTTTTCTGAAAATGTTGCTGTTTTTAATACATTTTTATATTTCCTCAATTCAAATGTCACATACTGTCACAAATAAAAATTTGGAGAATTTTTTGTTTGAGTTGCCCCACATTTGTTTCTTGTTTTGTACGCTAATTAGAACCAAGGGAAAAGAAATGCATATTGCATTATGTAGAAAACAAAATTTCAATTTTTTCAATTTTACTGAAAAAGTTTGAAAATTTCATAAATATTTTCAAACTGTCAAAATTAATTTATTTTCGATAAATACTCTCAATTGTTAGGGATGGGACAAATTTATTGGTTATTCAGAGAGTGATTCGAATTGAACAACGTACAAAAGTCGGTGTTCGCTCAGACAATTTTGTATGGGGAACTAAGTAATTCCTTCATAATTAAGGGTCGAACAACGAATGAGAAAGCGAACAACGCTCGTCTGTACATGGCATTAATTTGTATGTATTTTGTTTTCAAAATGTTTAAAAATAAAAGTTTTTTGAATGTTTATCGACAATTTGTCTACATTTTTACAGAATAACATTTTCGTTACTGCAAACGATTTTATGTATATACAACATTTTCAATTGTCGGATCGTTATAAGTTACTGAATCGACCTACTGGTTTCAGCAACACTTGACACATGTTATGTTACACAAACTTTAGTACGTTGTGCAAAATTGTGTGGTAATCTGCCTAACTTTGGGTCTAAAAATACGAAAATTTTCAGCAAACTTTACACACATCAATTCAGTACGCTATGTCAAATTTCGTGCAAAATTAAATTTACATCGGGCAAAAATATATGGGAACTATAAGTAAATCTGAACCGATTTTCAGGAAACATAACACACATCATTCTAGACCTAATTCATTACGCTGTGCCAAATTTCGAGCAAATCGAAAGACATATAAGGACTTTGGTTCACCATTTACATTAAATCGGACCAAAACATATATGGGAGCTATAT